CTAACTATACTAACCTAACACGTACGTACTTTACTTACGTAACTAACGTACACGCCGGTCGGCGACTATAGTACGTACCCTACCTATATATATATATATATATATATATATATATATATATATTGGGTGAGTCAGTGGAGAGATGACCCCCTACCTTTTGTAGGAATTGAGCCTAAGACATAGTGTTGGTAATCGTCAATTCTAGCTTTTTATTTCAATCCTTCAAAAAAATTTTATTCTAAGGAAAATTACAAATACCTTGGATAAAAAAGGCATGCCCACCCCTAATACTGCTTTAACCACAATTCTAACTCAATACTATTTATTTTTGCATCCAACCCCCATGTGAGAAAGTAATTTTCTTAAGACGAACACCCCCAATACATGAACCCACATTTATTCCCATTTCTGCTCTCTCTCGCAAGGTTTTTAATTTTTTTGAGAGCTTCTCTCTAGAAACTTGAAATTTGAGATAGTTTATCTCTAAAAATATTTGAAATAGTTTTTGCTCTCTAAAACTTGAAATTTAAAATAGCTCCTCTCTATAAAATAGTCTCAAAAAATTTGAGATTTGATAGTTTCTCTTTAAAAATTTTGAGATACTTACTCGCTCTAAAATTTCAACTTTCAAGTTTTTAGAGAGAGAAACCTTAAATACATGGGGTTATTTACCTCCTAAAATGACTAAAGGGTTACATGCAAAAATAAATAACACTGGAGTTAGTGGTGTGGCGTCAAAAATACAAGGGTGGCATGTCTAGAAAGTGCGGTCATGGGGGGTATATATAACTTTCCCTTTATTCTACTTTTTTTTTTTTCGAACTCGAACTTCATAGATACATGATAGAAATGGATTTCTAGTGATACCTTGAATACCAGAATGGTGGAAATGTATTTGCTGTGATCAGGGATGTAATCCGAGTCCTTAAAACCCTTGAAAACCAGGGTAGACATTTGTGGGAGACTCAAAAAAAACTTTTCTATTCCAATTTTTTTGAAAGAATCGATGAATGTACTATGATGCAATACATGATGAATATGTAATGCTTTATTTATTTATTTGACTGAAATAATTTCTATTATTTTTCTGAGAACTTATCAAGAGCATAATCCCCTAAAGTAATTGACTTCAAGGTGGTGGTATCAATTCCGCTACAATGCTCCACCTATATTTTTTGTGTTGAATTTTTTTTTATGTATTTCATTTAAACCTTATACTATAGTTGGGATAAGGCTATGACGGAGATGATGATTTAAAACATTTACTGTACATATATTTTACTGGTGACGCACACACATATACGGACACACACATGCATATGGACACATGGGGAGAGAGAGAGAGAGAGAGAGAGAGAGAGAGAGCATTGTTTTGTTCATCAGCATTGAATTCATCTACACCTGCTGCGCAAAGCTATCACCATCTAGGAAACTAAGTTGTGTGTGTATGTTCTCATGTTCATATCTGCCATGCTGTGCACCACTTTGCAATGGTACAAGGTGCGAAGAATCAGAGTATTCATAAGCCAACACACCTCAAACAATCCTGATGACCCGTCGCTGCAAACAATTAGCATCGTCGTCATTCTTCAGAAGTGGCCACACCTCCCATCCACCCATAGCACGCATTCACTGATATGGCGAGAGGCATAACCAATCAAACGATAAAGGGTAAATCTGTATTAACCAATGACAACATAATAAATTAAGAATCATAAAGGCTTACCCGATAATCCGGCATCCTCATTTATGAGGGAATTCAAAAACAGCGTGTTCTAGTGGGGCCCATCCAAACGGAAGCTACCTCCTTGCCCTTCGGTCACACTCCACAAGCTTATGAATCCAAGTTTTGAGCATGTAGATAAAGCCATGAGTTTGTTTCCTAGAAAATTCCCAATTTTCAGAAAGAATGCAGTGGCGGGTGGCATCTGGCAATATCAACAAAAATATCTGTTATTCCAAAAGATTTGCAATAGTTTCATAAGAATTTTACAAAATTGGATATATTCATCAAATAACGAAGTTACTTTTTCAAATATTTGACAGTTCTCTTAAGAACTTGCTTATGGCAGTGATCACGCAGAGGGGGCTTTCGAGATGGGGAGCATGGCCACATTTGGGAACCTCAACAGTTCTTCTGCTAATTTCCCCAGTTTTCATCTGCTGTGCAATCCTCTTGAACTTCTTATCCTTCTCTCCTACTATTAATAGTAGGGGCCTTTTACAGGTCTTCATTTCTTCCCACATGGGTCTATTACAGGGAATAGCCAATCATTGATAAGTGATAACCCAGAAATGGAGAGAGAGAGATGTAATATGCATAGGAATTTTCAGTTTGGCACTAAAAAACACACGGAAATTTATCAAAATGCACCCAAGAGATGAACTATTCAACATTTTAAATTAACAAGCCTTTCGCATTAAAAATGAGCATAGCTTACGGTTGCCTCCCAACACTTAGAGCTGACAGAGCTCTTGCTAATGCATCAATGTCCCCATGCTGCATACGTCTTCGAGTAGTTCTTTCAAAGTGTGGATGACATCTCAAGCTATCAAATGCAACAGAGACACGCATAAGTATTCACTTTTCAATAGTAACTTTCCGGACAATCACAAATGGAAGACAGAACATTTCCACTACATAAAACTCGCTTTTAATACCAAACATATAAATAAATGAATTTTATTTTAATATACAAAGTAAGAAATATAAGAAACCTGACTGATAACACTCAAGGAGAGAGAGACAACAAGGGATCTATGCACCCCTCAAAATTGTTTCAATAAATGAGTGACTACAATGAAACGAGTATATCTTATCATTTTCATTTTGTTTTCTTGTTGATTGGCACACAATGAATGAGTGATCGCTCTCAACGTATTAGTTGTTAGCAAACATAAAATTTATGGCACTTTTAAGGTTTCAAAGAGAAGCCACCAAGTGAAAATTACCTTAACCACAGTTCTCCTGAATACCATGACTTGAGAAAGCTCTTTAGTCCATGTGCAACAAGGTAATCAGCTTTTGCATCATCCTGAGCAGCTCTGATCCTTCTCAATTCGGGGTCCTTTATCCCCGGACTTCCTGATATTATGACCGCTCCAGCTATCTGGAAAAATCACATATTAGTTCAATCACAAAATTCTAGCAGATATAGTCACTTGGTTAAGCAAAACATAACCCTCAAATCATTCTTCAGCTCACCTTCTCACCACATTGCAAGGCCATGTACAATGCGATCCTTGCTCCCATTGAATATCCAACAAGAACAACCCTTTCAGGAGCAATCTCATGGATCAGTTTCAATAGAACTTCAACAAATTCTTCAAATGAAAATGCCAAACCTTGAGGCCTGCCATTTTTAGAAATCCTCTGTATCTGTGACTTTCCATGGCCAGGGAGATCAATGGAGATACATCTTGAACTGGTAGAAAGGGCCTTCATGATGGGAACCCAGTCTTCACCAGTTCCAAGGAAACCATGCAGGAAAATAACAGTTTTCTTCTGCAAGAACCATTTATTTTGAACTCAACAGGTAGAAGCCACTATCCATTTAAACCAAATTCCCAATCAAGTAAACACAAATTACTCCAACTCTTAAACATTCTGATAAAAAAAAACCATTATGGAAAAGAAAAAAATAGGCCTATGATCAGAAGATTTACAGTAGGAATAAGGGGAGAGAACAAGCATCTTTCCCCCAAGTAACTACGTTTTCCTCAAAGGATCACATAATCTAGTTGAGTACTTACATCTTGGCTGATTCCAGTATCCCACACGTTAAAGGAGTAAGAGAAACCATCAAAGTTCCCTGCTAATGTATATTGTCTCAACTGTTCATCCTTGTAGCTTTTCTGAATGGCTTCATGATTCAATTGGCAGGATCGAAGGAGGAGACCGGCATCGTCTACAGAAGCTTCCACTGCACCACCATTTGGGTGAAAGCAGAACTTGAGTGATTCAGTAGTTACATCATCACTAAGCCATCTAAATGTTCCAAGGCCATGGGAAATAGCTGGGCCTAATTGTTGATTCCTCATTCTGCAAATTTCTCTGCTTTTCAGATCGAGATAGTGAGCAAACTGAACAAATGATGAAAGACAAATGCTACTTTCAAATGCGCCACTGACGACAGCCATCTTCCCATGCTGCTGAGCCCATCTTGCTACTAGTGCTGCATTTTCAAAGCCCCCTACAAGGCTGGGTTTGATCACCTGACAGAGATCATTACATTAAGACTAGGTACCATCAACTGAGTGATGTCTTTCTTTCTATTTTTGTTTAGGGAGATGATTTGCTAATCATGAAAGAAGAAAAAGAGTTTTATATCATGGGAAGGTATAATGTAAATCAAATGAACTACAGAAAACCAGAGCAAACTGAATCATCAGCATCAAATGGAAAGTGATGGAGATAGGATCATGACCTGCTCAGGTGGATCCCATTCACTCACTGTCATCATCCAGAAGTTCAATTGATGATGATGGTGAACCATGCAATAGTATATCTCTATAGTCCATTGGCTTTTAATATGTCATTGTATTTCTAATATTGAAAACATATTACTCACTACTGCAACTATTCCTGGATGTACAAATTCCACAAGCTTGTCTAGGAAATCTCCTCGCATATTGTCAATGGTTTCATCTAATGCCACAGGAAGGCCAGTTTCTTCACAAAACCTTGATATATCCTCTTCAGAGTTAACGGGTTCCTAGTACACAATCAGAGTTAGTACCATCTAGAGGTGACCATAAGAAGCCCAATTGGACTATGACTACAGTATGACTGTTTCTACCGCATGATAGAGGAAACCAAAAAGCATGAACTGTGGTAATTAATTCTTTAGAAATATTTATTCTTTATAATAGTTCGGATAACAGTGCAGCAGCTGGAATTTGTGATATAATGGAGCCATTGTTCTGTTAATAGAGATATAGGTATCCATCAAGGTGGAAACGACCCCAAGAAGCTGTTACACTACCTCCAATACAAATAAATGATGTAAATTTGGTCAGAGAATCATGAGAATGTTTAAGTAAACTTTAACTGAGAAAACTTCAGTCAAACATTTGCTTCAATATTTGCAGCACTTTCGCAATAAATTAATTATTAGAGCACAATGGAATATCTCATGCCTGCCTATTTTCCTGCATTTGTTACTAACAAGCACTCAAAGTGAGGTCTAGGAATATATATCAGCTACAGTAAACATTAAGATCTTCTAGACCAGTGTTGTCAAATTCGCATCACTTCGGCTGAAGAGGCCAAAGCCTTCGGATTTTAGGTCTAGACTGAAGCGAAGCGAAGCCTGGTGCTGCTGCTTCGGTCAGATTCGAGCCACTTCGGTTAGATTCGGGTCTGCTTCAGGCCGATTCGGCCGAATTTGACCTAAGAAAATAAATATCTATATAAAAGTATTTTTTATTTTTAATTTTTTCATTATTTTTATATATTTATAAATCAAAAAAAAAAGTCTATAGTCTTCCCCTGAATCGGCCGAAGCACAAAATTGCTTCATTTTTCTAACCAAACTGAAGAAGACTCCATAGTGAATCTGACAACTGTGTTCTAGACAAACTAACATTTTTCGTATCATGTTATTTCATATAGTAAGCTCATCATACTTCAATAAACTGCAGGGCACAGTCTTTCACACTTGATCCGAAATATACTGCTTCTTCATATGTCCAACTGCGATTGGCGTCTACCCGAAGATTGATTTGATATCCAACTCTCTGTCGAATTGCTCGGACAACATCAACATCTTCAGAGGGGTTTGCTCGGCGAGCAACCTATGATAAAAACACAATACTCATTTCGTTGAGCTATTTCAACTTTTACAAACAAGAGAGAGAGAGAGAGAGAGAGAGAGCACCTTCAATTTTATTGTAGTGAACCCTTCTTCAGCAAGTTGAGCCACATGCTGAGCCACTTCTTCAGGTGAGCCATCAGAATCTAGAAGGGCAGCTGTCTGCACTCCCTGTCTGTCATAAATTATAGGGTCTGCCTTACCCATGTTCATACATTTAAAATACTTTTTAGAGTCGAGAAGTATTTCCAACATGTTAGAGCCGTGTCTGGCTGCTAATGCATTGAGTATTGCCATCTCAAGACCACATCTCACACTGGGAGATACTGTATCATGCTGAACAAGATCCTGATGTTATTACTGGTGCTCATAGAACAGTGTGGTTATGGAGAACAAGCATGCAAAAGAGAAAAAAGGATTTAAAAAAAAAAAAAGAAGCCAGAAGATTCACCCACCGGGAGTCCTAGGCATCTCCAAAGCCATAAACTAAAGGAACCATTCAGCATAGGTAACAAATAGCTGATCTCAACTCCTTTCGTTATATGAAGAAGAAATCTTAATTGCTCTTCAACAGCCAATAGATCCTCCTTGTGGATGTCAACGGGAGCAACCTGTTTCAAAATTAAAATCGTATGCCAAATTTCAGGTTCTGTTTTGATGGAAGATAAAACCATGCAGTGCATACATCGCAAATATCACATTAATGTGTTGGGTGAAAATGGGAAAAATACACAAATTTGAACCATGCATGCTATTTTTACTGGAAACTTCAACAATTTAATTATTTCATCAAGTACTCATTAGTTGCGATATCATGAAGTGTTAAGGTATAACAACATTAAAACAATGATTGATGTACATAAAACCTTCAACTTGTATGCGCAGATCAGGAAAAGAAGAATGTGACTTCATATGCTAGTGCGCCTAATCATAGTCCTGGTGATGGATATTTATGCGAAGATGAATATTTTGATGATTATAAAATACACATTTGTGATTTTGAAGTTTCAAATGAATATTTCAATTTCATTTTCATCCCATGTTATCACTGCAACTTCAAAATCATCCCTTAACAACTGAAAAATAGGCACTAAACAAAACCAAGTGAATTTTATCCATGAGGATGCATAAGAAATATGATAACTTTTTATTAGAAGTTATCATCGTGCCCATTTCTTCCAATGCACTTTCTGTTGTACTATTTTTTTCAGATGATTATAAACTCCTTACTCTACGTACTTTAAAGGATAGGAGTCATCCACCTCACCAATTCCTGTACTTCCATCTTCAAAAGCTACTGTTAAAACATATCCTTCTCTATTGAACATCTTGGAGTTTGTTTTGGATGTAGCATATGTGGGTGGGCTGCAAAGTTGAATTCTGTGATCAAATTCAAACATTAGAGACCAGACATGCAGACACTTGATTCAAATAGATTTTTAATTTGAAGATCCATATATACCTATAGAACAAATACTCCATCGACTGAATCTTGCATAGAGAAACACCAGACATGGAAACTTCTGGCTTTGAGAGTCTTGAAAGGATGTCTAATGCATGCTCTGCTGCTAGGCCCGCTGATTGTTGAACTACTCTGTAACAAGCACAGAAAATCTTGGGTAAGGAACTAATCAAGAAATATTTGCAACATAGGGAAAGGGCAGGGAAAAATGTCCCTTGTTTGAGAGATAGTGGGATGCCTCATCGCACTACACCCCCTCAAAGTGTGCATGCAAATAAACACACCCATACACAGGGAGGGAGGGAGGGAGGGAGGGAGGGAGAGAAAAGAAGAGAAGTGGATAAGAGGGAGGGATGGGGGAATCAATTAAAAGGACCTGTGAAAGGCAGCATTATCTTTGATGCTGCTGGCCACTTCTATGATACTGTCAGTCAGTCCTTGGTGAGATACACTGAGAGCATGTTGGAGTTCTCGTTTTGTCCTCACTTGCACATGTTTCAATCTGCACAGTGCTACAATACTTATTTGATTTCAGAAAGAGAAGTAATCCTAGTACATTTCATTTGCTTGGCAACTCGTCCAATGTCTCTTAGGTATGGCAAAAAGAAAAGTTTCTGCACCAAACGTCAAGATCTGGTCAAACAAGGAACCCACACTTCCTATCAAATACCATTGAAGAAGACCACTAAAAAAAAACCACCGAGATGACCAATTGGCTAAGTTTCACAACAGTCAGGATTGCACTAGCCTTAGCCATTGAAGAATCACAAAATCACAAGCCACACTAGTAGTTTAAAAAAAATACCAAACTTTGAGATATTACGCCTGATGCATCTCAAGTACCTAATTTCTTTTTAAATTTCTACAAAAGAGTTTATGTTTCCCTTTTGAAGTCGAGCATTTCCACTCTATTAACAAGTCCAAAAAAAAAAAAGAGTTTCCTTTTTTTTCCAAGTAAATTTTTTTTGAGATGAACAAACAGAGGCAAACTGTGGAAAAATCAATGTGACATCAACCACTAGAGGCAAGGAAGACCGTTAAGTTGCTCAAAACTTGGAACTGAGAAAATAGCGGACTCATTCAAGGATTCGAATAATGAAACTAGATCAATGCATTCTAAGTCTAATAATCAATTTCACAATCTAAAATTTTTGTGTCAATTTATTATCTGCTCTTACTGACAGAAATGAAGCATTTCATGCCTGTGCATACGATAGCCCATCCTGTCCATGGCCATGACAACACAGTAACATGTAGTCCCCCAGGTAGAAAGCTCACAAACACATCAGGAAGCCATGATTGACATTCATACAAATTTAATGCCTGGATACATTACCGATGTGCTTCACAGAGCCTGCGAACTGACACATTGTGTGATGTGTAGAAGTAGTTATTTAAGATACTACTTCGTGTCCTGTCAGCAACTGGAAGGAGACTGAATATTGCACCTCCATGGTTGTTTATCACCAAAATGGTCATTGGCTTTCTCCGCACCCTTCAGAAATCCAGAAACAAGATCTCTTATGTACTTTTAGTTCAAAAGAAAAACAGAAAGAAATAAGGGAACCAATGAACATAAAAATGTCCAGCGGTGCGAAAATTCTCTAAAAGAACATAACAGAGATAATGATAGTCTATTCCATAACTATTTCATGGACTCAATAAAACACCAACCCACATTACACACACAGCACCCACACGCACACGCACACACACACGCATGCACACACACACACACACACACGCACACACACATATATAAAGAGAGAGAGGGAGATAGAAAGAGAGAGAGACCTTTGGTTCAGAATTGCTAAACCATTGGTATCATGAAGAAGAGATATATCACCAACCACCAACAATACCTGAACAAAACGCCCCACCAAGCAATCACAAAAAGGATAAAACTGGATTACATACTAATCCTATGAAATACTAAAACCTATCAAATACCTCTAGATTCCTCAATATGTAATATGAAAAAGAAATAAAAATAAATAACCACTGTCTAATGTCCTGAATAAAAACATTAGTGGTATGGAAAACAGTAGATGCAAGGATATCACTAGGAAAGACGAATCAAGGTCCAAAATCAAACTTGGGGCATACATTACCATGGTGTCTACTGCCTATCTTCGTTACTCCCGTTTAAGTAAATCAAAGACAGTTAACACAAAAACACATTCCAATGAGGTATCCTTAACAGTAAGTGGAAAAAAGTTAATTCATTATAGCATAGAAACACACACCCAATTCTTATTTCTAAGATATGGAACATAATCATGAGCTCGAGCATATCTTTCAGATGTCAGTGTGCACAAGTCAGTCCATATTTCCAAATGGTTTCGAATACAGGATTCCTTGATCAGGTGAAGCCAAGAAGAGCCTCTTGGGGTTGATGGTCCTCTCAACAGTTCTTATTGGGAATAAATGCCACTCAATATCTAGGAAGCCCAGATACAAATACAGGTAAAAACACAGAAATGGAAAGTGGGGATACAACTTGGCATTTTCCAAAATCTGGGACACACATATAGACACAAGGATCTTAGTTGAGACATAGATAATGTTCATTATAGCTTATTACATAGATGCAGGTATCTGGCACATCGATATATGCATATAACTTTTGATAATTTATTATTCTATTCCTCATATTATTTTTTTATATTCTGGCATTCTATCTTTATATTTAGAACTATAGTAGCAGTATCTGGTTTTGGTATCAATGTTGTATTTTGCCGACACTGGCATGATAAGCACGTACAAAGTATCCTTGCACCATAGCTCAACATCATTATAAAAATTTAAACCCTTTTGGATCCTTGGAAAATTATTATCTAAAAAAAAAACACTAGTTCTTGTAAAATACATTTCTTGAGAAAAATTTCTTGTACAATGGATTTTTGTTGTTTGGATAGTATATGAATGCAACCTGGAAGATAGATTTCCACAATGAAAGGGGTTAAATGCAATGAATATCTAGAAAGGGAAATATGGTAGTGATAGAGAGAGAAGGAAATGGATAGAGCTAGATGGAAGTAGAAGAGATTTCTATGAATGGGGTGAGATAGACAGAGAAATGAGAAACAAAATATAAGGATTTTGGAGAATAACAAGAAAGAGAAAGAGATGTGTTGGGAGGGGGGATGGAGCGCGCACGTGAGAGAGAGAGAGAGAGAGAGAGAGAAGGTGAAGGGGAGAGATGGGAAAAGATTCCCTTTTTAGTCCGGGCCAGAACTTTCTATTCACTTGTTTTATTTTTTTTTGGTTTAGCTTTCTAAGGAAATCAGACAGGGAAATTAATTTTTTTAGCTTGTAGAGAGAATAAACAATTTCACTTTTTTAGGTGCAAAATAAATAGAAGATTTTTTGGCAGACAAACATTTCGGTCCTAGATTTTGGATCCAATCACCGCTTTGTCTTAATTATAGACGACTTAACTAGGCACCTACAAGATGAGATACCATGACGTATGTTGTTTGCAGACGATATAATTTTGATCAATGAGACCCGAAGCAACGTCGACACGAAGTTAAAATTTGGAGAGCTGTTCTAGAATCTAAAGGTTTTAAAATTAGCCGGACTAAGACTGAATATAGAGACGGCAAGTTTAATAATACTAGGAGTAGACACAAAGAAGCAGTTAAGATTGATAGTCAAGAAATACCAAAAAGAGCACACTTTCGATATATTGGGTCGATAATCCAAGAAAATGGAGAGATTGAGAAAGATGTCGCACATAGAATTAGAGTAGGATGGGCGAAGTGAAGATGTGAGACCAGAGTTTTATGTAATCGCCACATAACAATGAAGCTAAAAGGGAAGTTCTCTATAACAACTATAAGACCAGCTTTACGTTATGGGGTGGAATGTTGCACGGTCAAGAAACAACATACCCATAGGATGAGTGTAGCTGAGATGAGGATGTTGAGATGGATGAGTGCAAGACAACAAGCGATAGAATTCGAAAAGAATACAATCATGAGAACTCAGGTGTGGCTCCAATAGACGATAAGCTAGGAGAAAGTAGACTTACATGGGTTGGTCATGTACAATGCAGACCCAGTAATATATCTGTTAGGAGTGAGAGTTCGTTCAAGTGGAGGCTCAAAAAGGGTAAAGGGTAGGCCCAAAAGGACATAGTTGGAAGTAGTGAGAAAAGATATGGGACTTATGGCCTCATTGAGGGTATGCCCTTGATAGAGTAGAATGGCGGACAAGCTTCGTGTAACCGACCCCAAATAGTTGGAAAAAGGCTCTGATGATGATGATGATTTTGGATCGAACAATGGAAATGCGCAACTTAAGTAATATCCCTAGAAAACTATTTCTAGAAAATTTTCAAAACAGGTCAAAGTCAAATAGCATGATTCGAAGCACTTCTTTTTACACTTTTTCGGAAACCCAATATTTCTCCTTAGATTCAAATGGTCCCCCAAAAGTTAAAATCCCACAAAATTTTCAAAGGAATTGAAGATGGGGAAGGTTATAACAAGATATCAAAGAATTACAAGTAATTGGCTCCTGTTTTGAGGTGCTCATCTTTGATATTGAGCTTAACTACTTGAATAAAAGAGACAAGACCAATTTAGCCAATAAAATTAGAGCATAAACTTCTAGGGAGAAGTTGAGATTCACGCTTGGCAACAATGTTAGAAATTTATGGACCTAGTATGCATGAATATTGCAAGTGGCGAAGCGTCATTTCATCATTGTTGGAGGCAAGCGAGCTTCCCACATATCGTTCACCTTACAAGCTGCTTTCATGCAGAGAATCAACTCCTCCAGGGTTGTTTCTTGGTCATCCTACATCATTTGCTAGTCCATTGGAACGATATGTATCAAGGAACACCTTTAGCTTTGGAATCTAAAGGTTTTAAAATTCTTCAGACTAAGACAGAATATATGGAATAATAAGAGTAGAACCAATGTAGTAGTTAAGATTGATGGCTAAGAAGTACCAAAAAGAGATTGTTTTCGATATTTAGGTTTGATAATCCATAAGAAAAAAGAGATTGAGGAAGACATCACACATAAAATTAGAACTGGGTGGGTGAAGTGGAGAAGTACTTCCGGAGTTTTATGTGATCGCCACATACCAATAAAACTAAATAGAAAGTTTTATAGGATGGCTGTAAGACCAGCCATGCTTTATGGGATAGAATGTTGGGCAGTCAAGAAACAACATATCTATATAATGAGTGTAGCTAAGATGAGGATGTTGAGATAGATGAGTGACAAATCAAGAAGGATAAAAATTAATAAATGAATACATCGGAGGGAGCTTAGGGGTGACTTCAAGAGGCGACAACATGAGGGAAAGAAGACTTAAGTGGGCTAGCCATGTGCAACATCAGTTAGAAGGGGCAATTTAGTTCAAGTAGAAGGCTCTAAAAGGGCAAGGGGAAGGCTCAAAAGGACATTGATGGAAGTAACAAGAAGTGATATGATGACTTATGGTTTTACTAAGGGTATGGCCCTTCATAGAGTGGAATGGCAAAACAAGTTTCATGTAGTTGGCCCAAATAGTTGGGATAAGGATCGGATACCGATAATGATTCTGAAATATGTCTTGTCCACTTTTTATTACATGAATTATGGAATTAGATAATTTGATTTCAATGATACTTTGGTTGCTCTAAATAGGTCCAGAAAATAGTAGTACAGGCATTACCCATGTAAAGTTACAGACATTTCCATGGTACCATGAACCACCATTCCCAGTTTACTTGCATACTTTAATAGTAAATAACAATAAGCATAGGGCAACCCTAAATAAGCAAGTTAAGCTAAGCTAACATCCACAAACTACAGATCCTTAAAACATTTAACACCACAACATGCTCCATCCCAGAAAGAAAACATATCATACTCATATTATAGGACAAAAACTTCAGATCCAAGGCAACTGTCAGGAGAGGGTCAACTGGTAAAGGCATACAAGTGCTATTTACAAATTTGAACACTCTGGTTGTGCAATCCAAGAACACTTAAGCTTACATACCAATATCATAGAAAATGAACAATACTTGCAAGTAAACGTCATAAATCTAAGGAAACTTAACAAGGATCCAAAAGAAAGAAAAAAGGCAGTATACCTGAAACAAGGCAAAAAAGAAAAAAAAAAAAAAAGGAAGCATCTGGATTCAAGCAAATATGGGAAAAAAGAAGTAAAAGTATCCTAAAAATCATGTGAATTTTACGACTGACTTACACGCTTATTGCTTCCGATGGCAAAACCAACAGCTGTACTAAGCAAACCATCAATGCCACTTGCTCCTCTATTCCCAGCTATTCTTATACCAACCCAAGGTAGTCCCAAACTCCACTTTTCACATTTAGAGCCAGATGGGCAATTAAACCAACCCAAACCATACATATCTGCATCTCTTATCACCATGCTGTTTCCAACAAATAAGGCAGAATCACCAGAAAGTGCTTCTGAAATCACTTGAGCCACGTATGGTTCAGTTAATGATTCGTCAGAATCAATCTGAAATCGTATTTCCCATGCAATCTGTAATTGTGAAAACCACATCAAACAACGGCAGAACCATTCTTTCTGCTAATAAGGACAGGAAACTGATCTATTTTTTACTTTTAATGACTAAAATTATTGCTATCAAGTACATTTTCCGATATGTTCATTTACATTTCATGCCCTTATATCTGGCCCCTTCTTTGTATGCAGAAGCTTTCCTTACATGGTAAATGATTTCTATGAGGCGCTTCTTATTTGCATGAATTATATGACCTAACAATGCATGAAGTATGGAACCATCAGTAGGAGTATCTGTTTGCCAGAGCAGAGAAGAAGACATGATAGAAATCATGTCAAAAAATGAGTAACAAAGAACTCACAAGTGAGTCCTTTAACAGAACACTGCATTGGTAGATAATATTCAACGTTGTAAAATATATATAGACAAGGGGCAAAAGATTTATGAATGAAGGACTATATTATGATTGCCGAAACTAAATTTCACATGTTTCTTTAAACCATTGACACATTTCATCCATGATTATACAAATGCCCTGACGAAGACTAGAACAGGATAAAACTTAGCAAAGATAAATCTATACCGCCATATTTAGTGCTTGAAGCCAACTACTCCATTTGCTGGTCTTCACTGGGCAATGGAGTTTAAGTATAGGGTCAACAAATTCAGTAATGGTACACTGGATCCTGTGTGTAATAATATGAGAAGGATCATGGCGAAAGGGATGCTCATCAACAACAATATATGAATGTGGTTGGCAATCCTCCAACCATTGAGCAATACGTTTGCTTGTTAACCTGCTACCTATCTACCATAGTCAAAGCAGAAAAACCGTTACAAACAATTACACCAAAGAATTACAGACCATGATATATCTGGCCCATAATAGTGTATATAGAATCAAGGGAAAGCGTAAATATAATCCACTAGAAAATATTAAAATCACAGTCATGCTGGATCAGCACCAATCACTTAAATGTATGATGACACAGAGAGAGAGTGGGACCCACCAATTGGGGTCATGTCTCATTCTGATGGGTACCATTCTCTCCCATCAATATCCACCATTTCAACAGACAGTGATGAACAAATGGACTATAATTTTTCCACTTAAAATTGGTTTCTAGAATCCTCTTTCCCATAATAAAAAGAAAGAAGCAGATTCAAAAGGATAAAAAAAAAGAGAAAAGAAACAAAAGAAACAAAAAAACTGTACCTGAACTACTACATCTGGCTGGGCCCACCTCCTAACAGAATCTGCGAGAAGAGCATGATCCAAATGGTCTACAAATAAGTAGTCCTCTTCCTCGGGAGCTGCTATAATTTTTCGCAGCCTTAAACCTGACAGAATATCAGGTATAACTGGCCAAGAGAGGTGCTTAGCTAGGAGAAGAGCTGCCCATATCTCGTCTTCTGTGTTATTATTACCAATTAGTAAGAGGCCCTGGTTAGCAAACTGAATTATGTCAAGAACTTCTTTCGCATCACCAAGAATATCATTTGAATCCTTATCTGAAAGAAATTGTGGCATTCTAAGGTATTTAGTGAAGGGATCTTCCCTTAAAAGCCACATCCCCAAACCTTTTAAGCACCCAATGTTCCATTTGGTTGGAATACTTGCCAATGGTTCTCTAAAAGGACAATTAATATGCACAGGGCCAGAGGGTGTTTCACTTGCTCTATGTACCGCAGAATCAATTGTTGTTAGTACCATCCTTGCGGGAAGCCGGTCATCAGGAGGAGGAAGACTGAAGGAACAGCGCACAAATGACCCGAAATGATTGACCTACATGAGGAGAAAGAATCAGTGAAGAAATAGAAATTACCACTGAAGAAATAGAAATTACATAAATGGAGTAACGAAAAAAGAAATGTTGGTCTCAATAATTAGCCATAAGTTAGAAATTACCAATTCACCAATCCAATAAATTAAACTAAAACCAAGTAGGGTGAAACTATCAGAACTAGCAGGTGTCATCAATAATATATTGTTGAACTTGGAGGATTCTGATATTTGTTTTGTTTTTCCCCCTTTTTTCTTAAAAGATGAGGACATTCAACTTACAACAAATTGAACAGTGGTTTCTCAAGATGTCAGATATCTTAAGGGTATAGCCAATAATTGGTGGCAATGCCCGCTTTATGACCAAAGCTTTCAGATGACTAGATATCCGTCCCTTGGATATTCCTTTAGGCATCTGGTTAGAAATTTTTCATGCTTTCTGGCATTATATCTGAGATATTATCCCCCCCCCAATCCCTTTTAAAAGTTTCATTGTCCAGTTTGCTGCCTGCCCGGGATGCCCATTTAGCCTTTTAGAACTAGCTTTCCAAGATTCAGGAACGAGATTTGAAGGGGATTGGGAGAGAGGAATGTGGGATGTCTGATTCTGTGACTCAAGATTCAACCCTTCCTCTGATCCATTAATGATGCAAGACAAACAATGGGGCTTTCAAATTACCAAAGCGCCCTAATTATAATAAAATCAACTTAACAATAGTCCTGATAAGTGCAACATAAATATACATATCATGAAAGTCAGATTTGACATATTTTCAAGCATTCATTTTTCAACTTGTGAAAAACAAACGCCCTCACATGGTTCTTTGGGTATCTATGGACATAAACTAAATAAATCCATATCCCAACTGCGAAGGCCTTTACAGATACGGTCCTCATGTTGCAACTTTTCATTGAGAACTACCAGCACCAATATCTCAAAAGAAATCCTAAATACGTCTAACTAAAATGTAAAGAATGAATATATAAAAATGGCATTCAAAGAAAAAAAAGGATTGTTAGAGAAGTTTGAATCCCCAAAAAAAAAATGTTGTCATTCACCTGGTTAATTGCTTGATTTGCTCCTGTATCTTGTAGTTCAGGAGGACGGTCAGCAGTAAGAAGCAAAACTGGTACGCAATCATAGCTTGCCTCCACTACCTATGAGTGTAGCATATAAATACACTAGTAAGAAAAATCTTCAGAAGACAATTTCCTTTCTGAAGAGAATTTGTACCTAAAAGTTGCTATCGTTTTCTTTTCTTTTATTACTTTCATTTTTTGCAGTAAGGAAACACTCACAACCATGTGGAGCACCAAGTACGAAAACAAAATTTGCACCACCTTATTAACATCAAGATGAGTCATGGACTTATATTTGTAAGTAAAGTATTAAAACCAGACCAAACAATCACATTGACCATAGGTAGATCTTGTTGCGATTCAGGCCAAGTCAGGCCCACTGACTCGGTCATGGGCCCTGCCAGGCTTCAATCCCAAGTCCGAGATTTAAATTATTGACTCGTATGATGTATGGATACAAGCATGGCCACAGCTAGGACAACATTTTTAAGTTATTCTATTAATGTTTTCAAAGTACCAGACACGAATATAGTGCCAGTTCCAAGTATCTATGCATCATAGTTGATATCATAACCCTGGCTGATCCAGCTAGGCCCTCAAAAATAGGACATAGGGAAGAACTGGATGGTACCCTCATTAACCGGAGTTCAGTGCAGATCTCTGACATTAGAGAGGAGACAAAATGACCAAGCTAAATGGCAGGTGACAGTTAGGATTGCTTCAGCTATTGCATTCTTGCCGACAAGTTTGCATTAATTAAAAAGCTGTATTACATGCAAACAAACAAACATTGTACATCCACAACATTTGTTTAAGAGAGCCAGCTGTAAATGGTGGGCTTGTATAGTATGGGACGGGTACAGATACTAAAGAAAAGTGAATACCAAAGTTTGCTGCCATATAAGTATGTGTTGTTGGGACACCATGTGGGATTTAAGTTGGCATCTCATGAACACTTATATTTTTCCTTTAAAAAAATAAAAAAATAAAAAATAACCTTGAAATATTACTAATCTACCACTTATCCAAATGCCTTTTTATTAATTTCAATGATTCCATCTGACCATGTGTTAGATACTGCTGAATTCGCAATCTGTGATTTTGTACCTCCAAAAAAAATAAATAACACTTTTAGAAAACTAACTTGCACTGTTTTAATTTTGTGGAGGGGCAAAATTGAAAATTTCCCTTCTAACCAGTTTTGAAGCACTGTTACGTGGGCTGTTTAGAAAGTACTAAGATGAGAATGGATGAAGGGTTAAGTTAGTAACCGTTTACAGGTATTTTGACAAAAAAACTGAAAAGATATACCACATGCACCACCCTCAACAAGATGTTGTTGTTTATTTTGTACGAATTAAGCTTTAAATGTTCACTGATTGCTATTTTAAAACAAAATATGCTATTTTCAGATTTGGAATTCACCATACCAGCAACCTCATTAGCCAAGTCATTAGTATCCTGGCAGCTAGTTCAGGTCAAACCAAAACAAAAAAGCATCTGCAGAAAAGTAACATCCTAATTCCTTCAAAAAAAGATATTCAAAATATTGACATGCCAAAACCTCAAAATATCAATCCACGATGGACAATGAATATTATACCCCTTGTTCAGAAAATCGACTCGGCCAAGGTACTCAGAACTTGGCTGAGGCGAGTTATCCGACCGAGTCCCAATAACACGGCCTCATGTTAAAAAAAAAAGGAAATAACAAAAAGAAATATGGTATATATATATATATATATATATATATATTAAGATACTTATTCTTATCACAAGTACTAAAGTAGCATTCTGGTAAAAGAATATGGGGCCTCTTGAAGAGGTTGAGGTATCAATTCTTGCCTCATCTCATTTTGTGAACCAGTGTTCAAACCTATGACGATGCCCAATTTTTTAATAAGCAAAGGGAATCCCTCTTAATTGTTTAATTAAACCATAATGATGCTTATTTTTTTAATAAAAAAATGAACCCCTCTTTAGTTGTTTAATTAAACCATAATAGTGTTAATTAAGCTTTTAATAAATGTTTATTTTTAATAAAATAAGACAAGGCTTATTTTTTAAAAAAAATAAAAATAAAAAATGTCTATTTTTTAATTAAAAAATGTCTGGTGGGATTTGAACCATAGATGTGAGACTGCTGAGGCATGCATAATAGCCAAAAAGCCAATTAGATCCCATGTGATAATAATTAGGGATACATAATATATATAATAAATTGGTACATAGTACTTGGCCAAGTCCGAGTCTCCTCAGCCGAGTCCCAAAACAGTGATTATACCATGCCAAGTAACCACGATTCCAATTAAAAAGTTCATTTGTTAAACTTGAAAGACAAACATCTTACAGCTGGAAGAAGATTTGAGACTGCAGTGCCTGACGAAGTGATGATTACTGCAGGCTTGTGAGATCCTCTTGCATAACCAACAGCATGAAATGCAAGGGATCGCTCATCAAAACATGAAATGCAAGTTGTATGTGGATGACTGGCTGCCGAAACTGCAAGTGCAGAGGACCTTGACCCTGGGGCTATGCAAAAGAACTAAAACATAAAATTGGTGTTGATTAGAGACAGTTCTTTTGTTTTCCTTTCCTTTATCAGTAGCAAAATCTTAAAAGAACAAAAATAGAAAGTGTATGTGAATTGATTATAGATATTTTCCTTTCCTTTATCAGTAGCAAAATCTTAAAAGAACAAAAATAAAAAGTGTACGTGAATTGATTATCGATACTTGGTTCTTGCAGGAACAATTGACTATCTACACTATTAACAGTAATGCTAACCTTTAAGCCCAGACGACAGCATTCTTCAACGATAAGTGATGCCCACAAAGAATTGATGTTTGAACACTCTTTTACAGAGGAATTCAAATCGAGGGTAGTATCAATCTAAGAAAGGAAAGTGAAACAAGAGAAAAAAACCATCACTACAACTAGTAAATGGTGCTTCTTTCATTTCAGTTAAAAGCAACTAACATCTTACCCTTATGGGAGCTCATTATGTACACATAATGTATGAAAGTACACAACAGCTCAGTCAAAATCCAGTCAGAAGGGCAATGGAGATGAACCACTATACCAGCATTGGTCCCACATATTCGTGCAAGCCATTCATCTCCAACATCCTTAATGAATGGACAATGGATGCACTGCCTAGTACGTGCTAGCATAGCATACACATCATCCTATATAGCATTTACCCTATTTTATAACACAGATACGTGATGCCAACTTTAACATTTTGGATTACTGAATTAATAAAGGTCAAATCCTCTGTTAACCAGAAATACACAGCCAGTATTCAATATTTTTAAGAAGATTATATGATTCACAAGATAAATCCCCCTCAAGAGTTTCAAGCATAGTTTTTAGTACCGGACCCGCCACCAAATTGGTGAGGGGTTTGATCCTATTAGAACCTGTTTGATCATCACTTGAACTAGTTGGACCACATTTTTTTAAAAAAATGGGAATAATAGTTTGAAAGTGTCAAATATATTAGAAAAAAGTTTCTCAACTTTGTTTAGCCAGCCAAACTCGTGCAAATCGAATGGTCCGACCACCAAAACTAGTCAAACACTGACTTTGACAGGTTTTCAGCCAAACTAGATTTTTGCTATAGACCGGACTAGGTGGTGCGACACGGTCTTGATAACTATGGTATCAACTCACTTAGTGCTTATGCCAATAAGGTGACTAAATCTTGAAGTTGAAGAATGTGCGCATACCATACCATGTTCTGGCTATAGGCACTACCCCTTGAGAGCTGGAAATAAAACCTATCAAAAGTAGAAGCTTGCTCCTACAAAAATCCATGAACAAATCCATTTCATCACATTGTGAAAAAACACTATGAAGTGCTAAACTTCCAATAGTAGAATAAGAGAAGGCAAGTAATACAATGTTCATGGGGCCAAAAAGTGAAAAAGGGATCACAAATTTATTATTACCAGGTTAAAGGGAATACCAGTGTCAAATAATCTGCTCCAGTACTTCTTTCAGGATGAGCATATGCGGAAAGACACACCTAAATGAATTGAAGAGGCTACCATCAATTCTAAACATAATATTAATAGTTCATCACTAGTCTGAAACCGCCCTACAACCAGGCATCCAAGCAGCAGAGGGTAACTCGTAGTGTTCAAAATTGGACATTTGTTTACATCCTAAACAATGCACAGCAATAAAACTGAAACCATAGATCAATTGAAAACCAAGCTCATAGATTAATGTATACCATTTTAACATTTGACTTCCCTTCTGCCAAATCAGACTTTTGATTATCTCCAGTTAACCACTTGGAGGAAAAGGTCCTTTTTGTTGGTGAAACAAAATAAACCATCTGAAATATAAATAGCAAAACGAATAAGAATGTAGCAAACCGAACTTCCCAATAAAATTCATCATAGGTAGAGTTTTAGTTGAGAAATAATTCATAGAAAGTTCACAAAAGAGATTATGCAAAAAGAAAAAAGGGAAAAAAAGAGTCACCGGAAGGAAATATTTTTCATGGCCTAATATATGCGTTAAATCTAAAAGCTTCTTACTAATAAGGCCGAAGTCCCAATGTAAGGGAATACATCAGAACTAAAATACCACTTAAGTTTTCCATTTAGGTCAACATATTAAAATGGCATAAAAAATTACATACAGTAGATGCATGTACAAATACAAAGTATATATAATATACAAGCATATCAAATCCCTCAAATTTAAAAAAAAAGGGTCTCAAACTGAAGCTTAAATGATATGAGTAACAATTATTTCATCAAGTAGTCATGCACGTCCTAAGCGACTTATTTTTTCTGATGAATGTCCTTGCGACTTGGTAAATAAAGCTGCAACTTCTTCCGCTAGAGAGATGTATGGAACGTCATCAATTAACCTATATCTACTATGAGAGCCAACATTAATGTGCTGGTCCTGTCAAGGAATAATAATTTGCCAGTTACTAGGATTGAACAGATACATCTCGATGAGGGGGTGTAGATCGCAACAAACGACTGTGTTAATAGGACCTCAAGCCATATGATTTCAATGGAGGCAACAAATGGTGGCAACTCAGTATTTAATATCATGCGAGGCACAGCATCTGCAAGAATAAATGTCTCAATTTCCTGATGCACTTCAGGTAAAAACAGTCTCTCTTGAGTAATATATGGGTGTCATGCTCGATGACTTATAACATAAATATATCTGCCATAATTTCAGGATATTTGAAGCCTACTATCTAAAATATAAGATGCTAATAGCATAGGAGAAAGCAAGTCTGAAAATAAACAAATTTAACAATGACAACCATACCTTGGAGAGAGATAATTCAAGAGCATTAACTGCTTCCTCAAAGGAATAGTGCAACAAGACATCCCATGCCAATGTTCCTGCCATAATAGAGACGTTCCCAAGTTCATCTACCTCGATCTGTTGAAATAAAGTCCCTCAATATCATGCTTCCGTCCAGTGAGTTAGGTACAGAAGAACCACGAACCAATCTAAGAAACAGGACAATCACCTACAGTTCAACTTCTCAAGTGCTAACATCGCATATGGAAGACAAAAAAACATTCGAGGAGAAAAGTTTGACTCATCATCAAAAAAGTATGTGGTTGCAAAGGCATGAAAGAAAATAAACTAGCCAAGAAAAATTAAATAAAATGTGGTAATTTTACCTGTGGAATAAAGAAGTAGAATGAACCAATCTCATGCTGCATAACAGCTGTTTCATTAATTGGGCTTTGACATACCAATCCAAATGCCCTTACAGAGGGTGATTGTAAAGAAAGAAATCTGCAGAAACATCAATTATGGAACTGAAGCACCCTAACAAACTTCTCTCAAAAATCAAAGATACACACTTACACATGAACAACTTGGATCATTAAAATGTGATCTTCCTAACATATATAACATATCCTAGAAAGAACCTCATTTTAATCTAACTACAGATAGTAGTGTTTTATTTAGCTATATGTGTGGCTGTGGTGTGTGAGTGTGTGTGAAGGAAAAAGATTTAGTCCAGCCTACATTGTTTATGAGGGCCTTAGAGACATTTGTCTGGGCCCAAAAAGATAGTGAAAGTTTTTTGAAAGAAAAAAAAATAGAAAATGCAATAAATAGAGAACATCTATTTCAGGTGTTCTAAAATGGCCGATTTACACCTTAGGGATATTTTTTTTACCCCAGACCTGAATATTGCCTAAATAAATAACTAATAAACTAAATTTGATTTCTTTATACCTAGATTTGACTTTCTAGAAAAAGAACAGTCTATGTTCACTGTTGAAGCAATATTTTTCAGGCACTTCTAGAGTGTGAATTAAAAGTTTATTTTGTAGCTTGGGCACTAGGATGAGCAAGGATTATCCTCAAAATTTGGGGTTCAAAGGGTCCCTTCCTAGCCATGGTTTTAAGCTGGGGGGACACCATACAAGTTCACTCTATCATTTCCTTCAAAAGGAACCATCTTCACATCACAAATATCACGCTATTAAACACTATAATTCCTTTGTGATTGAGCAACATTGGGATCGCCATCCCCACTTGGGAGCAGTAATAGAAATGAATGAAACAGAAAAGTCAGTTTCCTCTCTAAGCTAGGTCAATTGAGTTTTGCATGAAGACAAACTTCATATAGTCAACCACCCTCATGCACATCACTTATCACACCATTGGACCCAAGGCCACGTGACTTGATTACTAGTTTCCATCGTTCTTCTAAACAATTCATTTTTCTCACACCTACCCGAATGCCAAAAGCAGATTAAGAACCCCAAAAGGAAACTTTTTTCCCACTCCACCTCATGGCCAGACTTAGATCCAAAACTTGTCATTGCATAAAGTAAGCCCCTTTACGTCCTGAGAATAACATCTTTGTTGACTATAGCATAATCAAAACCAGTCAAGCAACAAAATGATGTAAGCGAAAGTAAACAAACCAGTTCACCCACGTATCAAACCATTTGAAATTTATAATTAAAAATACTAAAAGAATGAATAACACAACACTTTGAGGTTCAACCAACTCAATAGGCCAGTTTAATGAAGAAAGCTTGAGCCAATCACCTAGAAAACCAAATTTTCACTGCTCAATCTAGTCCTTTTGGGTTTTTGTGTCCAACACCAAACAGCTAAAAGCTAGGCCAATTTGGGTCCAAAAGAATTAAATTTGCTGGTGTCTTCAACAGTATTTGTAACACGGCCTAATAAACAAGCAAGATTTTGGTCACTCATATTGAATGTTGTCTTAAATATACACTTGTTCCATTTTTTACAGATGTGCTCATGGGGCTAACATGCATGACCACCAAAGCAATGCACTTCCCTCGATTCCATTGCATGTACGACATTCTAATGAAACAAGTATCATAAAGTAAGTTGTAGAAACCCACTGTGACCATTCCCTCATTCCCTAGCCCCATATTTTTCACTTATAAAATAGATTTGACACTAGTTCTGCCATTTTACACAAAACATTCTTTGGGAATCTGGACCCCCCAAAGATGCAGCTGATCAACTGCCAACATCATATTTTTAAAACCCAACCAAGTGATAAGAATCAGTCTCTAGGAGGCACTTTCCTTCTTTAAATTCTGTACACCAAAATAACTCATCCTTACTGTCATCTCACATCTTGCACTTACATAAAACACCATACATACCTTACCCTTCAGAAAAAATTCTAGAGATCATCCATTTCATTCAGAAGAAAATCCCTTAAAGAACCAACACCCATCTTGTACTTCTATCAAAATAATGTGTACCATTTACAGAAGATTAACAGATATGGTGACCGTCGAACAACAGCCATACTCCAAAATGTCATCCGTTCCCAACTTATCCATAGAAAATAAACACTTCCTGTCACTATATAAATTAGATCCCTTCACCAAAGATGTTGAGTACACTTTTGCTTGCCTCCCGGGCCCTCAACTGCTTACCCTCTTTCATCATCTTCGTCCCACACCTATGCCTTTTGCTACGTAACTTGGAAACGCAAGTCCTGTCCATGGTTCTTGGCATGTGTCGAAACACCAAGGACAAGACATATGTGTTTTAAACTTCATAAGCTTGGACATTTCTGGTTGCTTTGTTTATTGTCACTGTAACCTTTAAAGAGATGTTTTTGGATTCTACTCTTTATCACCCCCCTTTCATAAGGGTTCTGTTAGCTTTCCGCCTGTGGAAAGCATTTCTTCCGTAAACTCTATACTTCTTTTATATATATATTTTAAAAGTTAACTTTATCAAAAAATAAAAATAAAAAAGACAGTTCTGGTTACCGTATTTTTTTAAATGGCACTACAAAAATATTTGGTTTTACTTAGAATTCCAACTCCCCGGCCCAAATTTTAAAGCGCAATTTTGAAGTTGGCATCTCTGAAACATGTATCTGTGTTGAACACTAACACGCATCAGTGTCTTGAAGACATTTTCCATTTCCTGGCATCCCCCCATTTACAACCCATCCTCTTTCATTACCATAGACCAACAACATCTAAATATAATAAGATAATTAATATAATAACATTACATTCAAGAACCCTCAGCATGAACTCCTCTTTCCACCACACAAGATGAAAGCGTTCACTGCAAGGTAACTTCAAAGAGCGTCTCCCTTCTTTTCTTTTTGATTGTTAGCTGTATCTCTTCTTTGGAGCTATTTGAATCTCCGAACTAATAAATATGACATCAGGATGGAAGCACATAATGGAGTAGTAGAACTGATGCGTAAAGTTACAAAAGAATTTTCTGGCTTCGAGGAATCAGCTATCCAACCTACAGGCCTGCTTTGTCAAACTAGCACGAGAAATCTGAATGACTGACAAAATGACAAACTATCCAATATAGATCTAGACAGTTTCCTTTTAATAATTTGTTATGCTTTCTTCAAAAAATTTCATCAATTAGCATAAGTTAGCAATACCATATCTCTTTCTCCATATTGAATAAAAATATGATGAATCCCAAAATTTTGCAACGTACAAACAAATTAAAGATTCAACAAGCTCCTGAACCTTTAAAAGGAAGAAAACATAAATTTGTTTGAAAAAAATTAAGAAAACTAATTGGACTTGGCCTAGGAACAAAACTTTGCAAGTGATTTAAGTCCACACATGCATGTCCCAATTCTTTCTATCATTTTTCTGAACTTCAATTCCATTTCCTTGCCTATGTAATATGCATTAAGAAAAAGAGAGAAGAAGATCAATGACCTCTGTATGGAATACAACTCTTGGGATGAAAAAGAATCAGTGCCCCTAAAGTAAACTGCAGCTCCAATTCCAGCAACTCCAAGCATTTCACTTATCAGACCCTTTTCACTTGTATAACATTCATAATCATCTCTATGAACGCCAAATTGAGGACCCTCGAGAGAATATGTTTGAAGTGCAAGCCAGTCGAAGGCCTTCACACTGGAGGACAAAGGAACCTAAAATTTTCCGAAAAGAGATGGTGTTGGTTGCTACTATCATATACAAAAAACAAAGCGAACGTATGTGCCAACAACAAAATGCAGAGGTAAGCAATTCACAAACGAGAAATCCTTAGAATTTACAGCGACATAGAACACACTTTGCTGACTCATATCCATATCAAATAAAATGTAAGTTACTTTGTAATCTTAAGCTTTTAACATAATGGAGAAGAGAATCAATCACGCAAAAGAATGTCAAATGGGTAGAAAAATGAAATAAATATTTGTCGATGTATGCCTTCTACATAAGTTCAATTTTAATTTTTTTAAACCCAATGATACTGAGGAAATTTGAACATGAAAACATACATTGCATAAGAAATATTAAAAAACAAAAAGTCAAAAGTGCCACAAATTAAATAGTCCATTAAGTTTGATTGAATTGTATTAAATTGCAATAGTATAATTAGTCCAGTACTCCAAGAGGGGGGCGGACCGACCTTTTGAAATATAACAGGAGCTTTTTGGTTCCAAATCTTCACAATTGAGATTTAATTTTTTTTTTGATGCGGGGGGGAGGGAACCAACCTTTTGAAATAAAACAGGAACCTTTTGGTTCCAAATCTTCACAATTGAGATTTTCTGAAACTGGTTTTACTTAACAACCAAGATTAACAGATTCTCTAAAAAAAGGCACAAATTCTCTTTACCTGAAACCTCAATACTCCACTCCTTGAACATGGGGGTCTCAACTTTAGCTCTTCAATTGCCATTTTAAGTTTATCCACAGCATCCCGAAAAGTGAGAGCAGGAGGGAGCCTCCTTGTCTCACAAAGCTCGACAGGCAAATCTGAGCCACCCAATCCCGAAAATCCACTCAAACCTGAGGGCTCAGTGCCCATCGCCTTGATCATCTGTGAAAAAACCAATGCATTAGAATGACGCCCACGGGAGATGAAATATGAGAAGTTTGGAATTTCAACAAAAAAAAGAAACCTTGGAATTGGGGCTTAATTTGGAGTGTAAGACCCGGGTGAGAGTACATTTCTGAAAAGAACTGTGAAGAAAGGATGAGGCAATGGAGGTCCGAGGAATCGGCTTCCGGAGGGTCGTGCAGTTGGGGATACTCATAGCAATGGTGCAATTATGCAACAATATCCCTGCCATTTTTATGGTACTTAGTAACAGCGGGAAAGAAGAGCTTTTGGTTACATGGAGAGAGATCGAAGCGACGCAAAGAAGAGAAAAATGACACAGAGTAGTAAGATAAGTGAAGCAGAGAGGTCTCGAAATGCAGTAGTGGCAGTGGATAAGGATAAATTAAGGCTCTGTTTGTATGCGTCTCCTGTAACTGAATTCACTGTCTCGATAAAATTAAGAAAAAATTATCAAAGTATTCATGAGAGTTGCATATTTACCATTTTACATGTGGAAAAAGTTAATATAGAGCCGAGGCTCTAAACAATCAAATTAGAGCCCACCTCAAAATTTTCACTAGAAGAGGTTGCTTTGATGCCCAAATATACTCAGATTGATCATCAAGATGTATGGACATGAGCAAAAAAAGGATTTCAAGATTTGGAATTAGTGCATCTTGTAATACATCTTGGGACCGTCAATTTCAATTTTTCATTGATCTGCTTGATCTACACTATTTTTGAAACTTTAAATTTTATAATTAAAAATAAAAATATATTTTAATATTATCAAAAAGAATTCCAGTATTGAAACCATATTTATCAATACTATTTGAAGGTGTGCTTTACTTTGACTGTTTAGAGCTTCGGCTCTATACAAACTGCACCCTTTACATATTTGCAATTATTTCAACTTGCGATCATGTGTGTTTGCATGGGGAGTTTGAAATTAAACCAAACAATGTTTGTAAAGTGACAAGTAGTGTACCTTTTCGTGAGTATTTTGATAAATTTTTCTAAATTTAATTTTGATATTGAATTACTAGTGTCCATCATAAAGTAATCTAAGATAAATTTGTAGGCAGTTATATATATATATATATATATGTGTGTGTGTGTGTGTGTGTTTATCTTTTTTAAATCAATTTTTAATTTTTTCATATTAATTTGCTGAAAATCATATATTTTTAACCAAATATAAAAAATAACTAGAACTCTTTGAAAAAATTGAATAATTAAATAATGTTGTACATAGTATTGAAATATACGAAACAATCCAAGGCGTATTTGTTCTATATAAGTGAGTCTTGTACTCTCTTATGTTTTTTTGTGGGTAGTTGAACAGTAGGAATCGAATTTGAGATATAACATTGCTAAGCATCCTTTTGCTGATCACTCAAGTTCAAGCTGGATTCCTCACATAGCAGTAATGTTTCAAAGTTATTTCAAGTTTTCGACATTGCCCAGGATAAAATTTCAAAAAATGCCATGCATTACTGAGACACAAAGGAAGAGGAACAACTCAATCTTCAGCCACCATGCTTATATGGGCTCAAATCTTCAGCCACCAGGCACAAATCCTCGAGATGGGCTCAAATACTCAACGACCATGCATGGGGACTGCAGCTTGCACTCGATAGGGAATACGGCTAAGGCATCGGTGGTTAGGGGGTAGATGCCTCAACATAACATCCCACCCTCCATTACCTGCGGTAACATATAAAAAAAAAAAGAAATACAATAAATAGCCTGCAGCTCTGAGAAGAAAATTTATATTAAATTTTGATGGGATTGTCTGGTCTTTATCCCTGAGAAGAAAATTTATATTAAATTTTGATGGGATTGCTGGTCTTTATCCCTGAAAAAAAAAAATTAATTAAATTTTGAAGGGATTGTCTGGTCTTTAATCACTCTGGGCTCCAGGCTAAGTAATTTGCTTTCCAGGATTGCTATACGTGGTCTCTTGATCGTAGTCTACTTTGCTTTCCAGGAGTGCTATATGTGGTCTCTTGATCGCAGTCCGACCTGCTCTTGCATGTCTGCTTCTAACCCTATCTTGCTCTTGGTTGAAATTCATCTAATCTTTTGGCCGAGGTTAGTGACAAAAAGCGATTGGTCATTATCAAAATTAAAATTGTAAACCTACTTGAGAATTGAGCATTTGCTTGTAAAAAATGAATTCTTTGTAATGGATAGTTGCAACTCCGTACAATTGAACCCAAAAAATATCTTCTTATATAAAGTCATATATATGTGATGCGGATAACTATGATTTTATTTTTACCATTTCATTTCATTCTTTTGTTGCTCGAGCCGGATGACGAAAAATTAGTTCAAGAAGTGTCAACATTAGAGGGATTTTAAGGGGCAATACTATCATAAGAGTAGATTTAATCAAGGTCATTGCAAGGGTTAGCAAAGAATCCTAATCCCAATTTTATTTGCCATTTCCATGTTTTTCTAGTGAATGTCTAAATAATCAGGTCTCTTACTTGGAAGTGGTCCATGCCAAAAGTAATCATAGTCGAGAATCAGTTATAAAGAAAATTGTGAACAGACAAAATATTTAACGGCCAAACCACCTCAAAGAATCTCTAATGTGATAAAAAAAGAAACGATCAAATCAGCTATTTTATCAACAAAGTAACTAATTTATCAAAAAAATGCTTATTTTATATAAGCATTTGAATCATATACCCCTCTTCAAGTATTTTATTATTAAAAACAAAACAAAAAATGCCCATACTCGATATTTGAACTTTTGAGCAAGTAAGATATTTTGATTATTAGGCGTACTTAAGTGATATAAATATTTTTTAGTGTTCCACATTTAACAAAATTTGAGGACCTGATAGATATCTTCATCAATAAATAGCTTGTTCCAAGTTTGGAACTCGTAGCGAACAGGGTTTTTAAATCAGTTGGCTCAATTCACGTAGCATAAGCCTAAAGGGGTGTGTAGATTCATTATTAGGCTTATGCTAAGGTGAAATGATTTTGTAAACTAACATTGTTGATTTGACCACCTCAATAAATTCTTTCAAGTGATTTGAGAAATTCTCGTGTAAAAATTAACTCCAAATTTCTTACATTTAAGTACATGCCGGCCTTGAAAATAAGACACCAATACTATCAAAACAAGAAAGCATTGTGCGTGAAAGCTATAAACCCAATGTTTTGATTTTTGGCAAATAAAATACAATAAATAAAACATGAAACACATACACAAAAACATAAAGATTTATGTGGTTCACCCTAAATGGCTTACATCGGGCACGGCAAACAAAAATCTAATATTCCAATGAAAGTTACATCAAATATTTTGAAACAAACCTCGACAAAAATACAGTCGAGCAAACCTTTTTAAATTGCTCTCCCTTCCTGCTCTTTATTTTTGGCAACCATTACCGACAACACCAGTTAAAGACGTGAGAGCAACAAGACAATAAGTTTCTATTTAACTAAATGGGGAAACCACCCAAAATCAATTTCTTTTTAACTAAAAAAGGCAACCATCCGAAATCTAAATAGAAACCGTTTCTCTACAAGAAACAAGTATCTCAATCTCTAGGAACAAACAGCTCGATTTCCAAAAGTCTATAGGAGGCATCATCGCAATGTTTTTATCCATAAGAAGCTCTCTTCTCTCTAATAAGAGGAAATCTTGCATCTTATGTACAAGAGGCTCTGTTCCCCTCTCTTTCTAAAAGAGACCACCACTCCTATATGGTGACCCAAAAAGAGTACACAAATTCTTCGCACTTGCATCCCATATATATAAGATTGAATCCATATTAAATAAGAAACATCCTATTAATGTTACATATATCTCAAAAGACCAATAGATATATCCAAGAGTCTTATTCCTTTTCGAATTTCTATTTCCTTTAGAAAATTTATCAAATATCATTATCAATCTCACATAATAATGAATATCTCAATCCCACATAATATGAAATTTTCTAATGCAGGTGATTTTAGATAGCACCAAATCCAGCAATCTCCAACTTGATTTCAAAATCACTGGTTCACCATGCCAATATCTATTGGATAGCATTATCGACTCTTCATTTTTTGCCAAATAAATTTCTTCATCATTCTTGCTTAATCCAACAATCTTCACATTGATATCAAAATCACCAGCTCACCATACCAATGTCCATCGGATAGCATTATAGATTTTTCATCTTTTGCCAAATAAATTTTATCATTCTTGCCTAAAAATAGTGTTTGCTATCAAATTCCTCAACCTCAAACTTTGCATTCGAAATCTTTCCTGCCATATCAAAAAACTCCAAACCAAGCTTTGATACCATTTGTTGTGTGCAGATTGATTTTTGGAAAATAAAGTACGAAAAAAAAATATGAAATACATACCACAATAACACAAAAATTTACGTGGTTCACCGAGGCTCTGATACCACTTGTTGTACATGAAAACTTTAAACCCGATGGGTTGATTTTTGGAAAATAAAATACGAGAAATAAAACATGAAATATATACCACAAGAACACAAAAATTTACATGATTCACCCCAAAAGGGCTACATCCACGGGCATGACAAACTGAAATCCATTATACCAATGAAAGTTATATCAAAGATTTTAGAACATAGAGGTAACATCTCTAACCTCGACAAAACCCAATCGAGCAAAACTCTTTTCAAACACTCTCCCTCCATTCTCTTTACTTCTGACAACCATTATCAACAATACCAAATAAAAACACGATAATAACGAGAAACTGACTCTTTCTCTAATTAAAAGAGAAACCACCCAAAATCTCAATAGGAACCGCTTCTCTACAATAAACAAACATCTCAATTTCCATAAAGCACCATCACAATTTTTCTTTTCATAAAAAGCTCTCTTCTCTCTAAAGAAGCCTTGCATCTTATGCACGGGAGGCTCCTCTCTCTCTCTCTCTCTCTCTCTAGAACAGACAACCATTATGATATGGTGACCCAAATAAGACACACCTTCTCTTTCTAAAAATAACCCATTGTATAGAAAAAAAAATTCACAAATAAAACTCACTTCTATAAAAAATTAATCTTTATTTCTTTAAATATGAGCTCTCAAATTCATTCTAATCCAAATAAAACTTATCCCAATAACCAACTCTAAGGAAAAAAAAATCTGATTAGTTAATAGCAATCCCACATAATATTGGTATATCTCAATCCCAAATGATTTTCTAGGATTTTCTAATGTGGGTGATTTTGAATAACACTAATGATATAGATGATACTAGAAAATCCTAAACTAAAATTATACAGGTCTGGCCCTAATCCAAATAAAACTTATCCCAATAACCAACTCTAAGGAAAAAAAAATCTCATTAGTTAATAGCAATCCCACATAATATTGGTATATCTCAATCCCAAATGATTTTCTAGGATTTTCTAATGTGGGTGATTTTGAATAACACTAATGATATAGATGATACTAGAAAATCCTAAACTAAAATTATACAGGTCTGGCCTTAGAGCACCCGAGAGGTGTCTCCCAAGACCATACACATTCAAAATGCTGAGTTGTCGCAAGTGTTGATGTTTTGGCCTATTCTATGTTTCTTGGGTCGGCCCTAATACAAAAAGAAAGCGCTTTCGTTCTTGCTTGCTGGTAGGCAACCAAGCGAAGCGCTTTCTTACCGGCACTGCTTTTCTTCAATTAGGCCAGCCTATCCAAGGATCAGTTGCCGAAAACCCAACAGAAAGAACTAGAAAGCCATTGAAAAAAAAGAAAAGTCAAATTCAGGGGATATTAATGGATTACCTTGTCCAACTTTTATTACTACTTGATAAGTTCAATTATGTGCATCTAAAAGAAAATTCCAAGCCATCTCTCTCTCTCAGACGCGCAAGCACACACACTCTATGTGGATGGAGTACATCTCATTTGGCTGCCAAATCATCTGCATTCAACTATCATACTATTATGCATTGAGAACCACATGCATTTACAAAAGAACTCAATCGACCATTAACATCAATGACTAAAGCATATCACAAAGAAGCCATAAACTATTAATTTCTCACTCTAAAACTCAATTCTAATATTATTCCACATGCCACCCAATATTGGGCATGAAACCTGAAAGAGCAACGAGTCATCTTTTGGGATGGAAATTAGTTACCTGCATTCCAGATATCACATAAAGAAACCCAAAAACCATTTCCACCAATCTCTGAAATCAGTATCAGCGCACAGGTCAAGAAACAAGCTATATATCCTCCAGAAACTACATTCACAGCCCCAACCAACCATTTCAAAATGTCCTTGCAGCTTACCTAAAAGAGCCCCAAAAACTGTAAGGACCTTCAAAATCACATTCCATGACCACCCTAATGTAAGACTTCCTTTCACATCACAAGAAAACATGTCAATACCGTCTTGACCACCACAAACGAAATTCACCTTTTTTGCAAGAAGCACAAGCCATGACTATACCCACAAAATCCATCCCATAAAGAATGCTCCATACAGATTTATCACCTTTTAAGAAACGAGGTAGCGATGAACTTGTTAGAAGTAACTCGCTTCAATTCTTCCACATGTTCATCATTACTGATTGCTAGCGCAGTTCGAAGCTCAGCAAGCAGCACCTCATGGCCCCATTTGGGATCACCTTGAAGATACAAGGCTTGAAGAACAAGATAATAAGCAGCCAAACTCAAATCCTTGCAAGTCCCAGTTAGCATGGTCAAGTTATCAGCTCTTGATTTCTCTGAAACCCCCATTTGAGGGATGCTCACAATGACCCTATCAAACTTAACCCCATCAGTCTCTCCCTCTCCAAAATCTTTAGCTTTGTTGCTGTTTTGGCTGAGATTCACCATCGAAGATAGGGCGGCCATACATGTGCTTCCGTTATCTTCCCCCTTCTTTGTCTTCTTTACCAAGTCTTTGGTCTTGGTCTTTGATTTCTTGTTGTTTTGGCTTGGATTCACCCCTGGAGATGGGGCGACCACACCCATCCTTCCATCATCTTCTGCCTTCATCTTTGCCCTTCTAATAGTTGGGGTTTTAACAGGCTTATCCAATTGGGTTCCTCTTCCACGTTTTCTACTGGTTTTTTCAGGAGCATGAATAGCCTCCATTATAATGCAATCATCGTTCTCTTCTTCAGGTTCTTCAGGGCCTTTCGGAGGTAGTGAGGATGAGGGAGAAAGTGAATGTTTCTTACCTCTCCCTTTCTTGGATCCACATTTCTTCAGTTCTGGTACTTGAAGTGGCGAAGTTTCAACCACGGGGTCCATTTTTGGCTCAGTGGATGGAACCCCATCACAGTTTTCAATAGTTGTGCTGCAGTTACCATGAGGAATACAGTCCTCATTTTTGATGGGTTGTTCTTCTGCTAACAGTTTCTAAATATAAGAGAGAAAGCACAGTTAAGGAGTGCGAAATACAGAATTTTCATGGATAGTTCTGTTCTTTTGAAACAAATCCCAATAATAAGAGAAACTAGGAGTTCAAAATAAGGGAAAAGCACATATTGGCACAAATCTGTGAAAATAACATTGTTAGAAAGAATTTTTTTCACATTATGAAATTGAGAAATATTGTCTCCCATCTAGTTTTAACTGGTTGAACATGAAACAATGAACAAAAAGGGATATGCTTTGTGACAAAAACGATACCATTAGATGAAAAACTGAAAAATGTTAATTTTCTGGTTTCTCACCAACCATTCCCTCTCTTGAAAATTTACTGTTTCGTTTCTATTTTGGATGTCATGCCTTCTTATTTATGATTGTGCCGTCAACCATATTTTTCAACTGCCTGGGCTTTCTGAGTGGGTGATTACTTTTTGAAGCAGTCTTAATGTCTTCTGAATTAAACAAGTTAGTTCATTCCACTCCTCCTTCAGGGTCAAAAGAAAGCAGCCAGAGTTGCTACAACATGCAGTCACGCAATTTCTAGGAGCCCACTTACTTGTGCCTAGGTGTCATAGGAGGGGGGATTCACATTAGAATTGGGCTGAACGGAAGCTGTATATCTTATAAAAATTAAATAAAAAGACAAAAAGGAACGGAAGTTTTACATGCCAAAACCTAGTACCTTCGTGATATACTTTCTCTTTGTTCACATAGGTTATGAGTTTTAGAGTGTTTTCAATAGGAGAGGGAGCACAAAATTCCACAAGCTTCAATCTAGAGAATTTCAATGTGCAACCCAGATTTATGGGAAAAATAATAGCATAGACATCACAACAGCAACTGTTTTTGGAAAATTTGTCATATTCAAGTAAGTTGAAATATCGCTTCGAGAGTGAAAAGGAACACCTTTACAAGACAAACACAATATGTGTATCCTTCTTTCTTATTTATGGTTCGGAACAATTTAAGAGCTTTAGGAGCTCTAGAATGGTCGTATGGCCCTTACATATCCAAAGCTGTAGGAGGCTCAAAGGAAACAAAATGGCCGGCAGTTATAACTTTCTTTCAAGTGGGTACCTATTTTAGAAGCTACTTGGTTGTCTTTGTTTTCCTTTCCTGGGAAAGCTAGGCTTGCACAATCTCTATCCTATAATTCAGGTTATCACACTGGTCAAGCAAAGCGAGGGTGACAACCATTTGGTGGTTTTCAACTACTTCCACTATGGTACATAAAAAATCCATAAACTCTAAGCACATTTTTCTATGGGTACATATAAGGCATACATGGAAAACAAACTTGGATGAGGAATTGAATACTGATAGCAAACATCTCCAGGGATCCCTTCTAGGATATAAGCTGCCTCATATGCATCATTTTCTGTTTTGGCAAGTCACCAAGAGTTCATTGAAGGATAATTCTTAATAAAATTCATAGGGGACTGTATACTATAAGACCATTCATTTTCAGTACAAGGAGGTCGTAGTCATTCTTAACCATTGGATGTGAAATCCGACCGATTGAAATGCATCATAACATTTAAGAAAATTTATTTTGGACTTTGTGCCTAGTCAATGACACATCTCCAACCACCCCATTTCACATATACGGTAAAAAATGGTAGCGGTCTCCTTAGAAGTACATGGGGGGAAAGAGCAATCATCATCATCCAGCCTTGTCCCAATCATTTGGGGTTAGCTAAATGAATCTTGTTCCTTCATTCTTCTCTCTCAAGGGTCATACCCTAGTAAAACCAAAAGTTACTGTAACATAGATTCAGGATTCATGATAAGATGTAGCAAACTTCTACGGTGGCTGCCTACACAACACAACTCACCTCCAAGGCCAAGAGGAATCAATTCATATAAAACATAAAGCATTGTACAATCCATACATGCATCATCCCATCATATAAGCTCATTCAAAATCGTATCGCCATCATCATCATCATAGCCTATTCCCAATTAATTGGGTTGGCTACACAAATCCTAGTCCATTTCAGGATTCATGACGAGTTTTTTGGCAAAATTTTACATTGGCTGCCTACCCAACACAACCCAGCCCTTTTACCCGGGCATGGGACAGGCTAAGGAAATGTTTAAGGTCATCACCCTTCTTAGACCGCCAATAAATATGACATACAATGCAAAAAAGTTAGTGAAACGACTGGACCAGATGTCTTTCAAACTAAGGTAGAACACTGCCAATAATCAGTAAGCAAGAGTGAATCATTTAAAGATACAAAGTAGTCCATGAGAAATGCAGGCAAATTCAATAAAAGATACAACAAAATAGCAGAGAAATATCTTACTCAAAGATAAATGGAACATAAAATATTTGAGTGATTCTTTCCCAGGAATATCAAAATGCACCTAAGAGATGAACTACTTAAAAAAAGAAGTAAAACACCCCCCACTTCCTAGGTGTTTTACTTCCCTTTTTTTTCCCGTTCTTTTGGGGTGTTTAGGACTCTGCCATGCCCACTCAGACTCAACTGAGTTACGCTCCGGCTCAAGCCAGGGCAGAGTTCCTGGCCTGAGTTGATTTAAACAATATAACTCTAAAATGATCTATAAAATTTATCTGCATTCTCCTTTTTTATTTTGCTTTGGACTCCATATTTATAAAGTTTTGCCTCTTTTATTTATCATTTGTGCCTTTCTGGTTCTATGAGTGTGGGGGTTTTCTGGGTTAGTTTCCTATTTTGGATGGTCGATGCTTATATCAGTGAGACAGGTTTCAGTTTATGTTGTTCATTGTATAGTTTATGAGTCTTTTTCTTCTGGTTTCCTTTTTTCCCTGGTATGTGGTCTATGATGCACGCGTACTTAAAATGTTACATCAGTTTGGTTTTGTCTTTTTAGTTTTGATAGTTGTTTGTTTTTCTTTCCTGTTTCCTTTATGCATGTTTTGGTTATTACGTTTTTCTTGTTCACTGGGCTTCTTTTAAGTGTGGTTTTGTTGTGTGATTTGAAGGTTTTTAATGCATCCTTTTTAAGTAGTTGATCTTTCCAATCTCTTGGTATTGTGTGGTTTCTTCGCAACTCTATTGTTGTTCCTCTTCCTATTTGATGATTGTTGATAGCTCTCTTCTTAGTATTCTGATCTGATATATTTCTATGCTTGTCAAAGTCCTAATTTCTTCAGTTTTTTCGTTTTTTGGCACATGTTAGATCTTCTTTTATACATATTCTGGTTCTTACGTTTTTCTTGCTCACTGGGCTTCTTTAAGTGGGCAAGTTTTAAGTATGATTTTGTTGTCTGATTTGATGGTTTTTAATGAATTCTTTTAAGTAGTTGATCTTTCTAATCTCTTGGTATTGTGCGGTTTCTTCTCAACTCCATTGTTGTTCCTCTCCCTCTTTGATGATTGTTGATACCTCTATCTATGAACTCTTTTTAATATTCTGATCTAATATATTTCTATGTTTGTCAGAGTCTTAATTTCTTCAGTTTTTGCATGGTAGATGTTCATTTTTGGCACATGTTATTATCAAGGTTTTCTCCTTTCTTTCACTCAATGTCGAGCGTAATATATTATAATCTTAAGTCTCACTTTCTTTAGATGCAGTAGATATGAAGTAACCTATGTGGTTCTTCATAGCCACTAAACAGGTTTCCAACAAGGTAGGTAATTTAGCCACGACATATGGGATGGAGTTTTAAAGTTTTTCTTTGAAAAAGTGTACAATGAGACTGTTTATTTTTTTTACAAAAAAGTCACAACCACCCCAAGCTATCAAACGTGAACTTGGGTTGGGGTCTACCATGGACATTGCTTAAAGTCAAGAAATGACAGACCCATGTTGTCCAATTTAACATTATGGCTTGGGGAAAAACTTTTAAACTCCATTCCATACGTCATAGCTGAATTATATACCTTACTGGAAACCTATTTTTGGCTATGAAGAACCACATAGGTTACTCCATATCTACTGCATCTAAAGAAAGAGACACTTAAGATTATAATTTATTACGCTCGAAATTTGATGAAAAAAGGAGAAAAACTTGATGATAACATGTGCCAAAAAATGATCTACCGTATAAAAAATGAAGAAATTAAGACTCTGACAAGCATAGAAATATATCAAATCAGAATACTAAGAAGAATGCATAGAGAGAGCTATCAACAATCATCAAAGAGGGAGAGGAGCAATAGAGGTTAGAAGAAGCCACACAATAACAAGAGATTAAAGATCAACTCCTGAAAAAGAATGCATTAAAAACCATCAAATCAAACAGCAAAACTATATTTAAACTTACCCACTTAAAGAAGCCTAGTGAACAAGAAAAACGTAAGAACCGTAACATACATAAAGGAAGATCTAACATGTGCCAAAAAATGAAGATCTACCACACAAAAACTAAAGAAGTTAAGGCTCTGACAAGCATAGAAATATATCAGATCAGAATACTAAGAAGAGTTCATAAAGAGAGCTATCAATAATCATCAAATAGGGAGAGGAACAACAATAGAGTTGAGAAGAAACCACACAATACCAAGAGATTAGAAAGATCAACTACCTAAAAAGAATGCATTAGAAACCATCAAATCATACAGTAAAACCACTCTTAAAGTTGCCCAGTTAAAGAAAGCCAGTGAACAAGAAAAACGTAAGAACCAGAACATGTATAAAGGAAACAGGAAAGAAAAACAAACAACTATCAAAACTAAAAAAGCAAAACCAAACTGATGTAACATTTTAAGTACATGTGCATCATAGACCACAGACTAGGGAAGAAAGGAAACCAGAAGAAAATACTCATAACTATAAAATGAAAATGTAAATTGAAACCATTCTCACGGATATAAGCACCAACCATCCAAAATAGAAAAATAACTACATAAGCCACAAAAACACCCAAAAAATCCCCACACTCATAGAAACTAGAAAAACCCCAAATGATAAATACAAGAGCCAAAACTTCATAAAAATGGAGCCCAAAACAGAATAAATACGGAGAATGCAGAAAAAAATTTATAGATCATTTTATTGTTATGTTTTTTAAATCAACTCGGGCTAGGAACTCCGCCTTCGCCCGAGACAGAGTACAACTCGATCGAGTCTGAGTGGACACGGCAGAGTCCTATACACCCCAAAAGAATGGGGGAACAAAAGAATGTAAAACACCCAGGAAGCTGGGATTGGGCTTTGTGGCGGGAGAGTTCTTCTTTAGAACTAAAACCAGAGAGCTCTAGTCTTTAGAATAAGCATTTCATCACATGATATCACCATGTATGCTTACTTTGTATTAGGATAGCTCATGAAAGTGGGGATAAAGAAAAGTATGGTTTTCCATGTCTCTTCAAACCCTAGCAGAGAGGGAAAGCTCCCCTTCTTTCGCTGAAGCTTGCTATTATGTCACCCTCTTAATGTAGCAGAGAAGCACAGGCTGACATTAAAGCATGAAATGATACCTTATAAAATCCCTATACTGCACCTTCTCAAAGTTCCAGGGCAGTGTTTCGTGACTTGCATCCACCAAGGTACACGGACCTTGGCTGCGGAAAGTAACTTCGACGATTTCCAAATGGACTAGGTCAAGTTAAAAATAATCAAAATTAGGAAAAAAATGTTTCGAGTACATAGAAATCATTAGAAGGCTAAAGAAGATAAAAAAGCACAAAATATGAACTACTTAAAATATTGATTTATAACTTGAATATTTCAGAAAAATTAAATCATCATTATCATCATCATCCAAACCATATCCCAATGATTTGGGGATCCAATTCCTCCATTCTTCTCTATCAAGGGTCATGCCCTCAATAAGACCAAAAAGTCACATGGGTACAGGATTTGTGAAAAGATGTGGCAAAATTTTATGCTAGTTGCCCACCTAACGGAACCCACCTCCTTTACCCGGGATTGGGATAGGTTAAGGGAATGTTTAAGGTCCTCACCATTATTAGACCAGTTCAAAAAATTAAATAAAGGAAACAAATCACGAACGATCCCAAATCATCCTTAAAACTATCAAAATCATTTCTAAGCAATATATTGATCATTTCTATTTTTAAAAAGTTTTTACATTTGCTCTAAAATATTTGTAGAGGGCTTTTGTGTGGGGACGAGAACTCGCCTCCCCACCAGGGCGAGGACGTAGACGCAATGGAGTCAGCTTCAGTTGAGAGAATCCACCTCCTCTCTCTCCATTTCTTCCCTGCAATTGATGCAGTGGCCCTTCTATCCCTAAAAAGCACCAAGATCCTCCCAACAAGCTTCCATGGAGGGCTGAAGTCTACCATGGGAAATGCCCAGGAGTCAGGCTTCCATGGCCAGCTGAAGTCTACCACTGCAAATGGCCAAGAATCAGGCAATGCCTAAATGGCCACAGAGCTAGTCCTCGAGTTCCGGGAATTTGATGGAACCCTAAAATCACAAACCCTAATCCTAACCAGTCTAGACCAGCTCAGAGTCATTACCTTTAACATCCACACTTTTGAGAGGCCTGGCTCCTTCAAGTTAGAGCCCAAAATCTCATGAGAAAGAGAGAGATGATTTGCAAAGCTTCTGCCTGTTTCGAGGGAGACAAACAGGGTGATGCCCTGTTTTTAGAGAGAGAGGAAGGCAGTGCACTTTTCTGAGAAGGCCGATTTAGGGAGAAAGAAAGAATCTGTTCTATCACTGTACAACGTACTCAGGGCATACAGGCCTCCACCAAGTCCAAGTAACTCAGTCTAAGTCTGGAAACACTGTTTTAGAACCTATGAGCTTTAGCCCTCGGTGAGTAGGTATGTGAAAGAACAATCACTTTGTTTCGCTGCAAAAATTCGAAGATTGAACCATACAGAGAGAAATTGAAAACGCAGAAGGTAGAAAAAGAGCGCATTCATTTTGTCAGAAATCCGAACGGAAGAGAGAGACAGAGAGAGAAGCCAGACCTTCGCAAGCCTAAACCCCTAGAGATATAGGCATTGCAGACCAGAATTTGTAGAGAGATAAATGGTTATGAACCTTGCATGCCTAAACCCCAATGAGAGAGAGAACATGCGTACTGAAACTTCTAGAGGGAAAACCCATTTCACAAAGTGTAGAGGGAGAAACTCTAACCTTGCAAGCCTAATTCCTAAAGCCATGTAGGAGATAGAGAGAGAGAGAGAACTGCATCCATAACTTAAAGAACTAGCATGTAAGCGAGAGAGTACTGCATCCATAACTTAAGGAAATAGCAGATAGGGGAACTATTGAGAATCTAGAGAGAGAAAATGAAAGCAACCCAAAACATCAAGAGAGAGAAAAGGGGAAAGAGCGAGGGCACCTATCTGATACCTGTGAAGCCATGACCCAATGGCCATCAATGAAATCTTGATGAACCCTCATCTGATTGAACTCAAAAATCATCTCTTCGCGAGTGTTCCTAAAATACACAGCATACTTCGAACCATCCTCTGCAACCACCTTCGAAATCACCCCGACCCACCAGCCATCATTGTAGAAAGCATCGACCTCTTCGTAGAGAGAGAAAGCATGTGGCGTATCAGGAACGGGAGGCAATGGCCTCACATTGACAATCTCCAAAGTTTCAACCAATGGCCCATTCTCATCGTCACTCACAAGGTTATCGTACTCAACCATGATTCTGGTTTTTCCAACCATTTTCGTCACAGTTGCAGTGAACCAGGCACCCTTGAAGCCATCTTCATCGCTGCTAACTTCCACCCGGCTCCCCTTCCTCAACGCCATGGTTCCTCTGCTCTTAGGTTTCGGTTTCAATCGTCTTTATCTCTCTAAACTGTAACTTCAAATAATCAAATCCTCCTCTCTCTGTAACCTGTATCAGTGCCTAACACATCTTCAGTCCGGTACTCTCTATCTGCCTTCTCCAGGATTCAGTACTCGGTACTTCTCTTTGACTCTCTCTCTAAAACCTCTTCTCTACCTCTCTCTCTCTAAAATCTCTTCTCTACGTCTCTCTCTTACTCTCGCTCTCTGTCAAAGTCTTTCTCTCTTCTCTCTGTGATTTTCTCTGCATTTTTTTGGTAAAAACATAGTGACCAAAATGGCCCTCATACTATTCAAATATTTCGAGAAGATATTCGCAGGCTGAAATTGAAGCAAAACTGAAAGAGCCAGGCTTCTCCATTTCCCTCGGATTATTTAATGGGAAAATGAAATTTCTAAAGAATTTTATACTCGTGTATCTCTTAACTAATGTTTTAATTATAAAGAAATTTTATTTTATTTAAAAAAAAAATATGCCTTCCAACTTTAAATTTCGAAGTTAGAAGTTACGAATACGAATTCACGTCGAGCTTTAAAAGGCTACATTTCCAACCTTCCGAAGCCAGTTACTTCGGATATTCAGTCAATCACTTTGAACCTTCAAGTTTTGAAATAGATAAATTTCATACCTTAAAGGGCTGTTGTTCTTTCCTGCAAGTTCTAAAGTAACAACTTTGATGTCGATCCCTCAGAGTCTGAAATATAAATATTATGCAAATACAAATAAAAAGGTTAAGGTGTTTGCATATGGTTGGCGCCTTGTACCATCAAAGTAAGGGGCAATTCAAAATGATGCCGAAAGATGCGATTCAAGTGTCAGAAATCCTTCATATCTAATTATAAAATTTAAATGCTTCAAAAAAAGTATAAATCCAGTAGATTCACGAACACGTAAAAATATTGAAAGATGACAGTCCAAATAATGCATTACAAAATGCACCATTTCTTGGGCTTGAAATTATTGTTTTTCACATCTACACAAGTCAATGTCGAGATGGTCAATTGGAGGATATTTAAGAGATAGAACACTCTTTTTGAATGAATTTTTTGGGTGCACGTTATTTTTATTATAGAAACTATTTTTAAATAAAAAATGGATTCAGACCCAGTTCGAGTTGACCCAATTTGATTGCATCCCCTCATGGAGATTTAGTTTCACTATTGGAAACCTTACGATGGTTTGAAAATCTATTTTATCCCTAGCCATAAAATATAAAAGTTTTAAAATGGTACGAATTGAAAATATTTACAAATACTAAAAACTATTAAAAATAGGGAGAATTATTTCATTCAACAGTTGTATAGTAGTATAATGCAACCAAACCTCTAGAAAACCATGTTTTTGCCATTTGTATGATCCCAAATTTTGCACACACATTCTCTTCATTCTCATAATCAATCCTACAAAGAAAAAAAAAAAAATCAATTTTTACCCAGGTCAAAATTAGTACCCTCCAACAATGAATCTTGATCATCCATTTAGTCAATTTCAAGATCAAGGCCTTAACAAATTCAAAATCATTTTTTTGTTTTTTAGCATTGTTAATATAATCATGATAACACTACATAAAAATTTTAGAAATAAAAAAAGTCCTTCTGAGGCTTATATCTAACCATCTCACTAAAATAGACGGCTTATATTAATTAGGCTAGAAAAACACTTTCTAAAGCGTTTTTTTCAAAATTTTATTTTATGTGATTGTTTTTTAAAATGAAAAGAGTGTGCATTTAAAAACTTGTGTCAAACAAATATCTCTAACATGGTTTTTTAATATACATGCATTATACTACTATACAACGACAGTTGTATGAAATCATTCCCTTAAAAATAGATGCTCCAAATAATTTAATAAAAAATACATTATTTTTAAGACTTAAAGTACTTTTTTTTTCCTCGTATACATATATCTCGAGCTTGAGAAGATTTTTCAATATCGGAGAGTTCTCTTTGCAGAATTTCTTACTTTGAAATTACAAGCTTAACACTTTGTAGAAACTATTTTCATATCGAAATGATTTGGGGGTAATTCTGAGTTTTCAAACAAGGAGTGGAGCATATCTTTCTTGTAAGTATTTCTTACAAGAGGGAGTAAAAAGGGCAGTAATCACAAACAATGGATCAAAAGAGAGAGAGAGAAGAGAGAGAGAGAGCAAAGCGGCCTATCATCATTCACCAATTCAATTGTACGCAGTCCACACCTGTAACTCATGCATGAGAGATGAGTGCACTTCTCCATGCATGAGGGATGTGTGCTCTCTCTCTCTCTTTCTCTCTCCTTTTTCTCTCTCATCACCAATCCCCACCTTTCTCTATAACTCTTCTTCTTTCTCTCTCCTCTTTTCGATCTCAACACCAACCCCACCAACGCATAACAAATATATTCTCTCCATCGATCCAATACAAATGCAGCGAAATTATCGATCGAATGGTATTATTAGTTGCCGGCGCGCCTCGGACATTGCAATTCATGTTCCCCTTTCTGTTACTTTAAAACAAAAAAAAAAAAAAAAGTAAGTTAAATTTAAAATTGAGTAATGATTCTATATGGGACTCTTTTTCTGTTTATGCAAGTAGGATTTCAAAAAGATCATCATTAAATTTGACATAGATCCATAAAAAAGTTATCATATAGTATAGAACTTGACTTTTTTTATAGATCCGTATTAAATTTAATGGTGATCTTTTAGAGTCCTACACACATAAGTGGAGGAAGATCCTTTAAATCATTTCCGTTTAAAATCTATTGTTATGTAACTTCTATTACGAGATATTATATTTTGAATTTTTTAAGAGTTTAAAATTTGATATTGTAATAAATAACGATCGTTTTTAGCCGATTAACTTTTCTTGAGTAGTTAAATCGCCAAAATGGTTAGAATCCTAGAGATTTTACGGTAGTTTACCCTACTTAAGCAGCCCTATACTCAAGTTTTATTGGTCTTAATCGATGATTCGAAAAAATAGTAAAAGATAAGTTTTTAAAAAATAAAATAAAATTTATGGGATGAAGATTTAAAATGACCTAAAATAACATTGGACAAAAAAAGAAAAAATATATATATATAAAATGGGTTTTTTTTGGTCATCGGGAGGGGATAGGGGTTAACAGTTCAGTAATTCCCATCTAGGTTACAATCCAGATTAAAAATCGTCGGATTTTGAAATACTAATTTAAAATTTACCTTGGGCATGCTTGTTCGGTTTATGTAGCCTTTAAAAGCCTTATGAGCGTCTATTGAAATACTTTTATTATAGTGAAACATAAACTCAGTAGGAGTGTGGTCCCTCGAGGATCATACTAAGCAAATAATGTTTGCTTATACCGGACTGTGCTTATCGATCTCGGCAAGTCGGTTTGAAAACCCAAGGTACCTGGGTATAAAGAATTAATCGGTGAGGGTTTTGGATTAACCTTTGATGAGGTCGGAGCTTATGCTTAAATGAGTGAACCGAGGAACTGTGTGACCTTTGTGTGTGATGGTAGGCCTACTGAGACGGGGGCCAAAACCTCATCCATGTTACATCACACGTCATGCATATTAATAAATCGTTCGGGAAAGCCAGATATCCACATTTGGGTGAAGCATATGCATGTGTGAGAGATACCCCTATGCGTCATAGAGCTATGGTTGCATCAGGTCGTGGTGTCATTGACTCGTCTCTAGGAGAAGACCTGTAATCCACAGACTGGGATTGCGACCCCTTTATTCATTGGCCTGACTTTGGTGACCCGCTAATGAGCCCTTGCTTGGACTGTGGGTCATGGGAAACATTGGGTCGGTTCGATAAAACTAGCATGGTCTGTAGTCCACAGTTGAAGGTGGAGTACCCCGTTATTATAGATTGAATTCCTAAAACCATATGGATCTGTTTCCCATCATATTAATTTAATTATGTTCATTTTATTATTGAATTGATTTTAGTTTTATTATTTGAATTTTTATGAATTTCTCAATATTTTATTTATGATTTTTGGACTTATAAAAATACAGTTATTGATTTTACAAAGTTGTAAAAATTCAAATATATATTAATTCGTTTTATTTAATTTTAAAACTTTTTATAAAATTTCATGGGGGCCCAAAGTGTACATGGCCCCACCATGTGGCATGTGGGTGGGGGCCCACATGTGCCACAAAAGGGTGGCACGCCCCCCACCTTTTGAATTCTTTGTTTGCTTTATGCTTAAGTCTTTAAGTTATTGTAACTTTGATTTGTGGCATGTGGTCAAATCTTGGAAGGAAAATATTGATAATGGCTTTATTTGTTTTATAGCAAGTTTGCTTTAAAGGCATATGGTCAATTTGAATAAATAGTAAATATTGACCTTATTTTATTTACATTTGGTAATATTTATTTGCATGGTAATATTTGACATATCTTTATGGAATATGTGAGATGGATCATGCACTTTTATGAAATGCATGATATTTATTTTATTTAAATATATTGATGGAAAAATGGTTTAAAGAAAGGGAGATAATGGTCCAAGCTCCTTCCATAATTTTGATGGTCTATCTATGGAATTGATGGCTTAGATCTCTCACCCCATAAGTCACCCTAGGTAGTACTCTCTCTCCTCTCTAGACCTAAGAAGAAACTAAAGGAAAATTAGAAGAAAGCCTAAGTTAATTTTGGGGGTTAAGATTTAAGAGAGATTTTAGTGGTTGTTACATAGTTTGGCCTAAATCAGCTATCCCGGTTTGAGATTAAACCTAGACCACAGATCCCGCGCGATTGGATGTGGTGATGTAAAAAGCCCGGTTGAGGTAATCTTCAG